AGCCAGTGCAGCTTCTGCTCGTCACTCTGAAACCTTGTTTGCTGTCGATCTTTGTCTCGAAAATTTCCACAGGGCATCTTTCTTCATCTTCTTCCTGGACGGAGCATCAGCGGCGGAGTTGTTCGATGATACCGAGTGTCGAGGCTCCATCGCCACATCGTACCGCCCGTTCACTTCTCTCACGGTGATGGTTTGTTGTCGACGCACTCATCCGTGTTCAGCTTCACGACCTTGCCCGCACCGTCATCGGCACCCAGCGAGTACTCCATGTACGTGTCTCTACAATCCGTGTACATCGTGTAGCTGTTGTTCGCGTGGACCGTTGCCACTTTTGTCGTGTACTGACACATGTCCACCCTCATATCCAAGGGTCGTGAGGTCAGGTTGATGATCTGCGTGGAACCCATGTCGCGGAAATCTCATCAACAACAAGCTGCAATATCGCGATCACGGTTTCGGTAATAACGCCGTCTATCCAGGCTCGCGGAATCAGACCAACGAGCGACTGACAGCATCGATATCACCCGATCAACGCAGAATCTGCACACTGCACCACTCATCTATCGATCTAGTGAACTCAAGATCCTGGCTCTGGGTGTTCGCACGCAATGTGAGTCCGATCACAAGGTATACGCAATCGCTGCATAATCAAGGAATACTACTAATATCTGATTAGGCAACCCGATGGCGGTTCCAGTTCAATCGCACCTTCTATCCCCACAACAAGGTTCAGAATTGCAATGTACGTCGATGTTCTTCAACCTTCGCTTTTTGCTGGATCATTGAATTGTGTCTGGACGCTGTCCCACAGATTCACCGACCTAACCGAAAGGCCCGATCAAATAAATTATCTTGACAATTGTCACTTGCTTTTCGACCCACGTTTTCTCCCCTGCCGTCGACACGTGGGCTACTGTTAAGTCCAACAAATAATAAAGATTTTTTTTGGGTATATGTGTAGATTTTTTTGATTATTATAATGAACGAGAGGTGAACAATATCCATGGATTCAGATGCTTGATTCTGATTTTTTTTGCCGTGAACTGTGACGAGCGCGGATCACACGGCGAGGAAGTTCCATTTTTCGAATCAATTCTATAAATCTATTATACCTTTGTAGAATTGATTCGACATTAGTTACTAAAACAATTGATTCGACATTGTAACTTGTAACAATTGATAATTCAACAATTGATACATAGATCGAAATTTCTTTTGTGATAATTGATATTATAACACTACGATTGATATTATAATCAACTGCAAATTCAATAAATATATATATATATATATATATATATATTTCTATTTATATTTAATTAAAAGATCTATTTTTGATGAATATTTAGTTTTTTACTTAGTTAACCACAATTTATTTTATATTCTTTAGAAATATAGTTTGAAAATTTTAATCTAACTTTTTAGTTTATAATTATTTTTGTAATAAAAAAAATCATTATAGATTAATCATCTTTTTTGATAATATAATACAGAATGTAATTAATTAATGAATAAAAAGCATCTTTAACTTTTCAAAAAGAATATTAGCTTTTAAATTCAATTACTATTTTAATAAAAATTAAAGAAATTTATCGAAAATTCTAAATTAAAATATTTATTCTATATATACACACAAACAAACACACAAAAAAAAAAAAAAAAAAAAAAAAAAAAAAAATACAAGTTGTTTTTTCATGAGACCTTTTTATTTATATAAGCAAAGTTATATTTGTTATGATTCTAAGAAATAACCAAATTTATAAGAACACAAGATGTCTTATTTTGTCGTGTACAGTGCATACATGAAATTATTTTCAAATCTATAAACACAGTAAAATATTATATCTAAGACTGTACATAATTTATCTTGAAACTGCAGTACAAAATAAGCATTATGTTATTCATGAAATTACAACAATGATCATAATACAATCCTTAAAAATCTAACAAATATTATTTCAAAACTTCTCTACATAAGTCCATGTATGTATATATTTCTATTTGTAAACATAATCATATAAACATGTAAATTGTTATTAGCACTATTTTAGATTCCTACTTATTGTGTTATTACCTTACTTTGTTAATTATGTATAATGATATCAACATAAATAATTAGTTTACTTGGTAATACATCCAAAAATAAAAACTTCGTATTAATAAGTGTAATATTAAACAAAATAATAAAAAAATAGTATAAGTTTGATTTTGATGAATTATTTTTTATTGTTCAAACATGGAATATGTGAATATTTGAATGAAAATAAGATAATAGATTAAAAAAAAAAAAAAAAAAAAAAAAAATGCTATGTGATGAATACAAAATTTTAAACTAAAAATTTATAATAAAATGTAGTGTGAATATTTTTCCTAAAAATAAATTGATGAAAATATAATATAAAAAAATGAAACCATAAATATGAATAAATTCAGTATCATATACAAATAAATGTAAGGCTATAATTCTAATTATGTAAGCTGTGTAGCTTAATTCTTTGTTTTTCTTTAAGATGATATCAGACATTAATTTATTGAAGATAATACATTTTAATTCATATCAATATTTTAATAATAAAACATGGATCTTATGATAGAAATACACACACTTCTACAATTTAAGCTCTATCAAATTTTTCTAATAGGATTAAAAGTTTCAGAAATTTTCTTCGTTAAAACAATTATTTCTAGTTGTTAGTACTTTAGAAATATTTTGGAAATTATTTTGAATAAAAAATATTAATAAAAAAATTTCACCAATTTTAAACCCTTAAAACTAAAAGTCATATTTATCAATTTTCAAAGACCTTTAAGTTTGAAGTTTATTTTATTTATTTATTTATTTTTTAATAGAACAGTTTTGATAAGAATAGTTTTTAACCTTAGTACATATCTATTTTACAGAAAAATATAGAGTTTGCTTGTTAAAAATTTATTGCAGCTTTATTTATTAAATTGATAGCCACTATAAATATTTGGTATAATTATAATTTTTAAATTATTAAAAATATTACTTTAAATAAAATAAACTTGGTTTATAATTATAGAAGCTTAAAGATTTTTTTTAACGTTTCAGCATAGATTTAAAGTAGAAACTAAATCTTAGAAGATGAAAAAATTAACTAAAATATAATAAGGCACTAGAAATTAACAATTTTTTCTGTGTGGTTTTACAAAAATTTATTAAATAAATAAATTTAAATAAAAATACGTATCTAAAAAAATAAAATTGGTAATATATAAAATATTTAATATAATATTAAGATAAAAATTTGATCCATAATATAAAAAGCAGTTCTAAATTTTGATTACATATGACACAATTTATATCTAAGTTAGAGTTTATCTTTTAAAATTTTATGTTGTATGATCTGGAATATAAAATTGCATAATTTTTCCATATGATAATAAAAAATTAAAATTAGATACAGGTTAATTGTTGCATATTGTTTTAAAATAGCTAGAATTGGTCTTATTTTGCTATTATAACATTTAAAATTTGGATAGTTATTCTTTTTCGTATTGGTCATTAGAAGAGCCAAATAAAAAGAATATGGTATAACCTTAGAGACATATTTTTATTATTAAATATAATTTTTTATAATAGATTTTTAAAAAATCGTACTACACTTGATTTTAATGTTAAAATTGTGTAATATAAAATACAAGAAGAAAATTTAGAGATGCTTTTATTCTATTTCAAAACAAGTACATGTAAGTAAAAATTTTAAAAAATTATTGACTAAATTACAAATCTATTCCAAGAATAACAATTTAATTCAAGATCAATAGGTGCAACATTGAGCTAGAATTATTTGTATTTTATCGAGTAAATATACTTTGAATTTATATCTAAAGTGGTTTTTAAAAATAAAAATAGATTAAATCAAACATCTATATATATATATATATATATATATATTTCAAGGTTTGTTAAAAAAATGAACATAAATAAAGTGAGTATCAATTCCAATCAATGACAAAAGGATACACAATTTTAATATTTTGTTATATTGTCTAGCTCTTGGAACAAAGCACATTTTATTTTATTTTTTTAGATTTCTCTCTATTTTTAAATTATACATTAAGTGAGTGATAACACATTTTGAAGAAAGAATATTTGACAAATCTTAAATGTAGAGATTATCTCTAAATTTAGAGATTATATCTTTGGATTACATTCATTACCCATGACTCACAAATGTAGTCACAAGTCTGAAAATTGGAAATTGGAACTAAGAAAATCATTCCCGAAGTTACGGCAATACCACAAGGTTAAAATTAAGTATATTCATTTACTAGCTAAAATATGAAGGCTGATTGCACTCGGTACCCTTAAGCAGCCTGTCCAAGACCTAGCATCTCCGATTTCATTCTTCCTGTGATTATAAAATACACTCAATGTCGTTGTGGCAGTATTAGGATGGAAATTCTGTCACTCCATTAATACTTTTTCTTTTTTCTTTTTTTTTTTTTTTTTTTTACAAACAAATATGTGAGTGTATATTATGCTTATCAAATTTTGGATGAAATCCTTGACTCTTTCTAAGCCCTGCAAGAAGTGGTCTACCTTGCTCTAGTAATCATTCCTGGAATCTCTTGCTTCATATTCCACCATATCATTGTGGAGAATCACATCGTATTCAATAATACTACACACACAAAAACAAACTAGTTTTGAATTCACAAACTGTTGATCGCCGTTTTAAGAGTTGAGTCTTTTATCTGGGAGGTTGAAGAATAATGTGCCACTTCCAATCCTGAATTGTACAAGTTTTCAGAATGACACATCACTTTGCCCATTCAGACTGAAATGCCTTGTCAGAAGATTTCAATTTGACATGCTCCCATTCTTGTTTTGCTCATGGATATAGTTCCTATGGTAGATCAGGAAAGATTCCCAGTTTACAAGCAGGGCGGACGTTTAAGACCATTTGGTGGGTATTTAGATGGTAATCTTCATCTGTACGAACTGAAAGTACGTTCGGACAAAGCGTAGTGTGTAACTGTGAACTACTAGAACACTTTTGATTGAGTCCAGGGAAAACGTTCTTATAAAATGTACAACGTGCCCATGCTTTGTCGCAGAAGTCGGATTTCATCAATAATACATGCCACTGCTGTTGAGTGATCTATATTACACTGATTTGTTGACTCTTAACATTCTATGTCTCTCGGCACTCATAACGATGTCGCTGCTTCCTTCAACATTGTCGACGTGATATGATGCTCTCTTATGCTCTCTACCTTTCAAGCTTCACTGTACAACAGACTTTCAAGTCCCTCTATATCTACGTAATCATGAGTCGTAGTGTGTTTATGATCATCTAACTTAACCATCCGGGCATTTCGAGCAGAAGCTCGTCCATGTTGAGACGAGCAAGTGCCCAGCTTGATACGCCTGGAAGCAACTGAGTAACCACTTTCCTACAGGCGTAACTGAGGACCCTCCTGTCTATCACGTGACTTGGTTCCTCTACATTCCAAAACAATGTCTTTGCAATAACTTGGTGGCGCAAATTCGAGGCACCCCCGGGCGCTGCTAATCGATCGCTCGGATTGCAGCGATGTAGACAAACTCTAGCTAATCGTTACACTTGGTCAAAGTCAGATGGGCACATTCAATTCACGAGGAAATGTACCTCTCCCATCCGGAATTCAAGTCAAGCTCACTACCTCTACACTGTATGATGTGGTTTCGCTCAGCGAGATTCATCTCCGCCTTGACAAGTCCGCCGCGCAAAGTGTCGCCAGAGCTGCAGTACAGATCCTGCAAGCTCGTATAACTAGCACTCGTGCTTCCACCGTGCATAAATCCCAGCCCATTTTGTGTGTGGTGCATGCCGCTCAAATGGTGGATCCCCACACCCTGGGACGACGATAGCCGCTCCATGATCAAACTGTTCGCAAGCTGATTTGGGTTACTGTTGTCGGTGCGATAGTCTTGAACAACTTCACACAAGGATCCGCTCATGGGCGAAGACGTCATATTCTGGAAGGAATTCATGTGCCAAAAGCTGGTAATAGGGTTGCAATGTGACGAGGATGAAGGCACTACTCCTGCAAGAGCCGTTGTGGTAGCGGCATGAGCAAGGCCACCTTGAAAGCCTCTAGAATTGCCGGATCCCTGCGGGTGCAGGCGGTTAGCACTCATCTCTTCGTGAAATTGTGCAGATGACTCCTGCCCAACACCATCCTCATCCTCTGAACAAGAATCATAAGACCCACTTCAGTTGGCGATATGCTGCCAGAACCGAGGATCCAAAGTTCGTGTGTGGACATTCCAATCCATAGCACCCTACCCTAGCCGAACCATGGATCATCGACCCTCTTCTAAATCTTAACTGATATTCACACAGCCTAACATGTCTACTACAGCTTCTACTTCAAATCAACAGCTGCATACCGCGGCTTCTACATTGCACCTCTGATCAAACTTTTAAACAAAAATAACACTTAAACATCACAACAAGGATCTAACTTTGCCCTCCACAAGGCAAAATATTGCAGAAATGGAATGCACTAATATGGCAACATCATGGGTCAATACGCATCAGATGGTAGCTGATGGAAAAAGGCAAACTCCGAACTCATGTACGAGCAATTGCCTGCATCAGTGATGTTGGTGTTAGCGGGTTTCAAAGACCGACTCGATCTGAGACAACCCCAAAGAGATCAGAAAGCATGTCACCTACGCGAAAACTCCAATCCACTGGTTTAAGAACGATCACTAGACCTGCGAGGCATGTCAGATTAACCTACCCGTTAGGCCGCGAGGTTCCCCGCTGCCGGAAACTGCCCCGCTGTCCTCGGCGTTGCCTGTGAGGTTTGTGAGGAAGCTCTTCTGCGACGAAGTGTCCGAATTTCGAGATGGCTGCCGAGGTAATTCATGAAGAGCCATGAGTGGGTCGGGCTGAGCCATCGGTGGCATGCCGAGGTTCGAGAAATCAGAGAGATATCCCACCGTGGTCACCTTGGAGGCTAGTTCCGTGAGTTCTGCATGAGCAGCTTCTAAGCCCGGGGATTCAGATGTGTGGCTGGCCAGAGTTTCTTTCGCTTTCTGCAGAATCGCTTGCAAGTATTTGCCTTGAGCTTCAATACGCATCTGTAGGTGTCGTTGAACCTGCGATGTACACAAAGATTCCAAGAGCAAATTTCAGAAGGAATGTTTTGAAACGAACACTTCCAAAGTGACGAAATACGCGACAACCATCTGAACTGGCAGAGGAACATGAGCACATGCGATGAAGGGAAAGCTGGTACCTCTAATTGATCTTGTAACCGCTGCTGGACTTCCAGCTGTAATTGGATTGCCTCTGACATTTGCAAGCCACTGCATACACATAGAGAAGAGCAAAAATTGCCACTTCTTACATCAAATGAGCACAACACTTTTCACACTTGTAGACATCTATCGTGCAACCAGGGAAGCAGAAATTGCTGTGGCGATCCTACTTGTAACAGAGAAGATTAAACGATGATGGATTTAATAGAATCAACGGCCCCTTCACTTCACAGTGCTGGCACTTACTGTTGCATATTTTGAGATTTCTGAGCCATCCCACCATCTGACAGAGAATTTGATCGTTGTAAATCTGAATTGCCTGTTGAGTGACAATACATGTGATTTATTAATTCTTCGTTCTAATCGAAGATTTCTGTGAGGTTCAGCAGAATAGTCACTCATTCCATTTAGAGACGACCCCTGTTGCGACAGGAGGCAGTTTTTGTTCAAATTTGAAACAAAATACAAAAATGTGCACCACAAGGAGCAGCTGCAACTTACCATCTTTATTATGGAAGTGTTGGTCCCTTGTGAGCTGCTTGCCAAGCCTGTATTTCTGAAAAACCACTGTCCCGATCAGCCAGTGATTCTCACGAAAACTGACCAGTGGGAAATGGCGGCTTAACCCGTGACCAATTCACACGCCGATTTCCATCATGTGTCACTGGAATACGCATTGCACTGCTTTAGAAAAAAATTTAAATAATTTAGAAAAAAAATACCTGAAGGTGGCTCTTTAAGTGGTAAAGAGTAAGCCCTTTCACACCCATGATGCGCATTACGGACTTCGGAGTTGCCTCTAGCAAAATCAAAACCGAACGACAATGTTAATTGAAAGCAAAAACGGTCTAAACAGAGAATGAATAATTAAGTGTGGGATGCTGTCGGTAGTTACGAAATTGAATCGACAACAAGGGGACACTCGCTTTGAGAAGTCCTAGACAACTACAAGACTCGGTCTGAAACAAAGTCTTTGTCCAGCAGTCCTGCGAATGAGATGGACATGAATTTGAAGAGCAACAGAAAGCATTGTCGGCCGGGTTCATGCTCTTAGCTTTTCACTCTCTTGGCTGTGATTTCAGCGTTTAAGATGACGAGATAAACTCGTCCTCATAACCACCTCTCTATCAATTCAACTGATCCATGTCACTCGTGCTATTCAAGGTATGCAAGACCTCTGACGTCACTCCGGAAGAAAGACCATGATATAACAAAAAAAAACGGTCCCCTTATGTTCTCAAACACTTCCAAAATATTGAGAACGGTGGCGGTACGGAATGTCAGACAAGCGTCAAACGTTGATCCTTTCCGACAGTTCTCCCACTTGACCTCAAAGATTACGCTGAACTAGACATATTTCTCAAAATCTCATGGTTCGAAGACTTGTTACGCGTGCATTAAAGACGCTGAGTCGTGTCCGATCAAAGAAAGGCCCTTGGGTTAAACTGTATTCGTCACTCAAGAAGTACCTCCTTCTCCGTGAAGTTCACAAGGAACAGTGGACTTTTGAGTCAACAGAGAAAGTAATTACGGGTCACAGAGTTTCTAAAAGGGTCACCCCTGCTGATCCATTTCGAATCTCCAGAAGGACACAGACGAAGCTAGAATGTTCTCAGAAATTCCTATGAAACTAGGAAACATATCCTAGAAATTGGACCGCTGTACTGAAGACTACCGCACGTTCCACCAACACTACACTGAGACAAAAGGAATCCCACCGTTATGGTTTCAACGATAATATTCTGCTTGGTTGGTTTGTATTAGGAGGGAAGTTTAAGATTTCTGTAGAGGGAGAGAGGTTAATGTTGATCGACGTACTGTCAGCCCCTCCGAGCTGGGTAACGGCGTCAACAAAGCGTTCGTGAAGCTCGGGGGTCCAGCGCAGGCGGGGCTTGGGATCGGCTGGGCTGAGAGGAACCATGTCTCCTCCATTCATGACACTGCCGTAAGGAGATTGAAGTTTTTCAGGTATGTACAAACTGCCGGTGGATCGGGGTCGTTGTTGAAACGTCCCCGGACTCATGTATTTCTTCATCGGAAACATCGTGATCAAAGGTCAAGCTGGTTACCGACACTCGTTGATCCAACCACTGGGCGGAATCACCGGTGTTCACCTCAACGCCCGGGGCTTCCCTGATCTATCAAAATGAGCCGAATTCGACTTTTAACAAGGGTTCATATAACCCGATCCTGCCAGCCCTCGGATGGCGTGCGGATTTTTTTGCGAAGGTAAATATCAAAGGAAACCACGGCACTCTTTTATACGATATCCATGGCTTCAAGTTCAAGCTTCCAGTAAATGCTACCCCTGATGCAAACGCGTCCTGCAATATATAAATGTATCAAACCACTGGATGAATCAAAAACTTTCCACTAGGAAAACTCGGTACCTCAGAAAAAATACCCAACCACCACCACTACAAATCCTGACAAAACCAAAGATGATCCCTCGCTAGAATTCACACTAGTAGACTCAAAACCTCATCGAAAGCGTGTAACAGGCACACACACCAGAATGAAAACGAGGTTCGCGAGCTGCAGTTCGGAGCAGAAACTTCAAACAACCCAGACCACTGGGAACCGCTCACTCACTTACTCACACACACACACACATACCCCACGATTTGCTACCCAAACTCTTCCTGAGCGTATACGTTTGCACCGAGACACGAACCGCAACTGGAGTTGAATGATTCGTGCGGCTCAGACAGACAGACCTGCAAGTGGCAAAGTCCAGGATACGGACCGTGCAGGCCTCTCAGAGAGATAAAGAGAGAGAGAAGGGTAGATGAGAGAACAGAAAAGAGAAAGTAGGTGATAACACGCCGTGGTGGGGATGGCTAGATGAAGTAGTACCCACAAGAAGCGACAACGGAGCTGGAAACCAGAGCGGCAATCCGGAGCTGTGAGAAGAAGATCAAGCGAGGAAAACGAGAAAAAAATAACAACACTGTCGAGAGCAGGGAAAGGGGAAAAAAGGAAAGGAGTTGAGAGGGAGGTGGGTTTATAGCACCATCATCTGATCGCAGCAGTCCCCACCTCGTGTAATTCACCCCCCACCCCTTCCCTGCTAATCACACACTTGTTGAGCAATAAAACATCATCAACAACGATGAAGTTGAAGACGAAGAAGAAGAAGTTGTTGCTGGTTGCTGCTGCCTCCGCGAAGCAGAATGAACAGTGGCACATGCGCTCCCTTGGAAGAGACTCAAAGAATAATAATAAAAACATCGACGCCCCCACAGCCTGGACCCCACCCTCTAATATTAGACACATCTACCCGCTGCCCTAACAATAAGAACAATAAGAATAATAATAATACCCACACCAATCTCAGTGGAATGTTTTTACTTTGGGAGGAACAAAGAGCTGGGCTGTGGGTATTTTACTGACGGGCAGCGGGCAAAATATATTATCCATTCAACTTTCTCATTTATAGAAAAATGTCCTTTAGTGGGTGCAGATTTGAATATTGAAAACAACATTTCACCTTGTGTGTCTCTTTTGAGATGCTGTACTCAAAGGAGTATCTAAGATTATATATATATATATATATATATATATATATCTATATATAGTTTATGTTTTTTTAAAAAAAATTGCCTTTCTTACGATTGACATTTATTGTTAAGAGAGTTGGAAATGAAAAAAGTAAGGTGATGGGTATTTGTCTTTGCATTGGCTTTGGTTTTTGATGGCCGTTGCTTTGTGTTTTTGATTTTATTTTTTTGGTTTTTTGGATTTTTTTTATTTTTAAATAGAAATAAAAAATTACTTTGGGAAAACTGTAAAAAAAATAAAAATTAAACATAAAAAATAAAAAACATAAAAACATAAAAACAAAAAAAAACAAAAAAAAAAACAAAAACAAAAACAATCTGAAGTGAATGTGAAAATGAGTGCATTCAAGAGCTATTGCTACTTTGAATGCATGTCTCATTGTTTGTCTGTTTCAAAAATATAAGTAAATAAATCTCATTCCATTATTTTCCTATTTAATCATTTCATGATTGTTTGAAGCATGCAAAAATAAAATGTGATTTGACGATTTTGAATAATATTTTTGAAATATGTGTATATTAAAAAATTGTGTAAACATTTTTATGTGTTTAATTTCCAATTTCAAGAAATCAAAACTTATTGAAAATTGCTTTAAAATTGGATATATATATATATATATATATATATACTTGTAGGCTTGTATACATATTTATTTTACAAAGATAATAATGTACAAATTGTAATGATTTGGGTGAACATTAAGTAAAATTTATATCATTTTGTTAGATTTATTGTGTTTTTGAATATTCTTACTCAATTTGGTATTCCTTTAACTATTAAATTTATTTTTTCTGCAAGAAATTAAATATCTTTATTACAAATGATTTTATCTGTCAGAAGATTGTAATTGCTAACAACATTAATTAGCTAAGCATTCTAAATTGCTAAATCTGGGCATTCTAAACCTGTTTTGGTTTCCATCCTCGGCAAAGCATTGCCAAACAAGTGTTGATTGAGTGGGACATCAATCATCAAAGGACAATGCACACGACACCAAGAGGTCCATCTATCTATAAAAACAATATATATATATATAAAAACACATTGGAGATGATAGTTAGGGTTGCCATGTATTGCCACTAGGATTGAATTCCTTTGTGTTGTTTTGTGTGTTGTTGAGTCCTTTTGGCGAGCATGATGTGGTTTAGGTAGGGAAGAGTGCTAGGTCAATCACCAAAGGCATGGGCTCGTTGATTGATCCATCCATCACTCTCTACAACAAATAGTTTTTTTTTTTTTTTTTTTTTATTATTATTCTTTCTTTCTAGATTTGACAATAGTTGTGCGTTTTGTTTTGTTTTTTGTTTTTTGTTTTATTTTTATTTTTTTAAATATTACATAAAGGGCTTGAGAATGGGATGGGGTTAGAAGTGCCAATAGGTGGAAGCCATTTGTGGTCCACTTTCGTTCCAACATGATTGAGCTCTAAAAGCTTTTCATTATGCAAAAAGGAAGGCCCGCTCTCTCTTCTTCTCTCACACACCCTCAATTGCTTCCATTTTTTTTTATTTCATTTTTTCTTTTTTTTCTTTTGAGCTAAGGATTGAAATAATACAACTACAAACGGATTGCTTCCACAAATCTTGAAGGAGAGGGATAAAAGCAAATCCTTTTCTTGTGTTATCTTTATGTTTTCCCATATTGATTTTATAATTTTTTTATTATAAAAATGCATGTGTGTGTAGGTGACATCAGATCAAACCACACTATGTAGTGTCCACATCTGGGTGGGATGTGCGGCAAACCCAATAAGTGAGGCTTGCCATAAAATCATCCCAGATAAAAATCCATAGATGGCCCATAATTCCACTTCTCTACAAAAATAAAGACAAAGTCGAGGGGTCACATGTTTCCACTCTTTGTGTCATGGGAATAATCCATGGCTGCTGAAGTAACTTTGAATGTTGGACTCACCCCAACCTTAACATATATATATATATATATATATAAATTGTAGGTGATTGAGGTGGTGTGTGTTTTTGGTTCCAACCCTAAATGCTGAAACCTTGGTGTGGTGAGATTAGGGAAATGGGAGGGTTTATTCATTCATTTATATGAACATTATTATTGACATTTTGAGTCCCTAAGACCACCAAAGAGTGCCAAGTCATGCCTAATATCCAAGCATGGCATTGTACGCTCCACAAGTTTGCCTTAGTATTTGGCTTTATCACCACCAAAAAATAAATAAATAAATAAATAAATATTTTCAGCTTGAATGAGAAAACATGTATAACTTGAACTGCAACCATGACTCATTTGTTTTTATTTTTTTTTTAAACCCATTATCAAAGAAAGGGGCCTACTGTTCAAATGGTAGGTGTAGCTCTTTTCTTTCAATGAGACCATGTATATTAGACCAAGTAAGTGCAATTTTTTCACATGAATTCACATGTTTTTAAAAAAAAACATCCAAGCTCACTGTTACTCACACAGACATGTTTCTCTTTCTTTCTTTCTTTCTTTTTTCTTTTGCACCCACTTGCCATAAAATCTGAAGACCAAGGTGCTGGACCAACAGAAAAACAGCCCCTCTACAACAATTATTATTTTTTTTTCAATTCATTACTCTTATTCTTTCTCAATTTTCTTTTTCTTTTTCTTTTTGTATTTTTCCCCTGTGTAGCTCCCCAGTAGGAACCCGCTGTTTTTGTGAACCCAGGGAGTTGACCCCAGGCTCTCTTATTTATTATTTTTTTATTATTTTTATTAATTTAGTGGCTTTAGGAAGGTACATGATCCCAATGAGTGGAAAGAAGCCTCAAGTGGGACCCACTCACAAGTCAAATATAAGCCTTGCATGGGGAGAGAAAGAAGAAAGCTTGCTATTCATTCATGCATAACTACAAACAAGGCCAAAACAAAAACGAAAAAAGGGATGGTGGATCCAAACAAAGCTGCAAGAGCTGTTGGGATAGGCCTCATGATACAATACAATGCAGGTGGTAAAGCAGCCACGTGGATATATTTTCATTTGACCCCACATGTGCCTCTTAGGCCTCACCGCCTTCGGCCACATCCTTGTGAGATTTGTTTATTTTTTTGTTTTATTTTATATGTTTTTGTTGTTGTCATTTCCTGGACAAGGCTAACCTATTGCATGTATTCAGTGGTACCTACAGAGGGAAGAAAAAAAAAACATACTAGGTCCTAACAAGTTGTCCCAATTCCTAAGGAAAAAATGTTATTTGATTTTTAAAAATCATTCCTATCATGATTTTCTATGAATATCAATGTTTGACAAGATTGGGTATTGTGCATGGATGTTGCTCTAAGTGCTTTTGTCAAAAGAAAGGATGATTATTTGAGTTCATATAGATCATAATAAATCAATGGAAATAACATATTATGTTAAATCTTATTGAATTTTAAAAGTGAGAATTTATTGAATATTGTTTGTTTTTTTGTAAGTTATTGGTAAAAAAGAATTTCTTGTAATCACAAGGGTAGAGTTGTCTATATACCAATTTAAGATTTATTGCTCTTAGATGTTGAAAAGCTTAATACCTTGAATACTTTCTAATTTAGATAATTATAAAATAATTTTTTAAAAGATATTTTCTATGCTGAATTAATATAATGAACTACATAAGATCCTTGTTTAAGTGTCACTACACAACATCCTTAGACACTATTTTAAAAGTTTTTTGGAATTTCTAAAGATTCATTTCAATTTGGTTAGTTCAATTATATTTTTTCTTGCCATAGCCTTAAATTTCGTAACATGAGATTTTGAGATTTTGGAACAATACCAAAACTACTCTTAGTATTATCAACAATATTCTTATATTATGATCTTGGTGTAAGACTCCTTAATTTATTTATACTTTGAATCTTTTTTCCATTACCTTTTGATTTTTTATTTATTTTTTTTTTTTTTTTTATGTTAGGTATCATCTATTTGGTATTGTTGAATATCTACTTTCTCCATTTTTAATATTTTATAATCTTGATTCTTGGATATGCATTAGGTGATGCTATTTACTTAGATTTGCAGCTCAAAATAGACTTTAATTCTATATTTTGTCCTTGACCTTATATTCAATATGCACTCTATTATTATTGTTATCTCAATTAATAACTCTTAAATGATAATATTCTGTTTTTTTTTCACTAGATCTTATTTGTTGTCATTGGCTATGTATGCTTCCATATTGACCACATTCAAGGTTTGGATTGATCATCTTCAATAGAAGAAAAAATTATAAAATAATTTTTGTATTGGAATTTTTTTTTAGATATTCTATTGTTGTTAATTTAGATTGTCTATTTTTTAATATCTTATTGATCTTAGTCTATTTATTCTTATAAATTTTGATTTATGGTAGGATTGGTGCATTATATCAAAATAGAAAATTCCATCTAATTTTAAAAATAATTCTATTTAAAGATATTGTTGACATATTCTTAGCATGTTGAACATTAGTTTATTATTTTATTAGGTAACTTGATTGTTAAACTGGCACTCATTGGCTAAGATTCCATAAAACTTAAGCTTTCCGATTTCATCCAAGTGTTAATGAAAAAATTCAATTAGACATCCTC